AGCTCACGTTTTTATACACGCAAACCTTTGATAGATCCGGCCCTCTGTGTAAACAAAATGGCAATAAAATTTCTCTAAGTCTAATTTGTTCAGTGGGAGGTTTAAAACAGCTGTTTATATTATATAACCATTCCCAAAATAAAGACTCACCTTGTGCTTTGTCATTGCCCCCACAATGAGTGGGCAGACCATGCCTGATAGGGTTCCCACACCGTTAGAAATGCCCATGAGGATGCTGGCATAGCGAGGAGCGATGTCTAGATGGTTCACATTAAACCCTGCAGCAGGAGGAGGGGAGACAGTTTTATTGGTCTCAATACATTTGAGAGATGATTTGGAAAAATAACCACTTTTATAAAGACTTACCTGATATTGCAAATCCACTAAAGCCCACTGCCATCACCAGGAAGGAGATGGCCACTCCTTTACTATGAGAGTATCCAACTACTAACAGGAGAGTTGCCTCCATGCCAAACCCTGAAGGAAACGACTCAAGTTTATTGGGGAAATAAAAGATTAAATTAGAGAGACAGGAGTCAGAGAGACGCCTCACCTCCACAGTTCATGATTTTACGGACGTTTGTGGTCGACATGATGTTGTGGGTCCGCAGGTAGTCTGCTAACTGGCCTCCTAAAGGCACAATGATGGTCATGACCAGGTGAGGGAGAGCCGACAGCGCACCGACCTGAAAACCAATCCAACAATTCTCTGAGACAGGCAGAAATAAACATGGAAACGGCGGCGGAACAAAATACATTTATGCATTTCAATCTCTGACTCCCAGAGGCAATAATTCACCCTGATGATAATGAATTCTCCTTCACAGGGTAACATGACTTATGGTTTTCTCTCTCAAAGATCAGACCGACTCCAGATTACCTGGACACTGTTGTCCACGCAGTTTTTTTCATTAACGATTTTAAAAAATAAAACGAAACTACAATCACATTTTAGCACAAGCCCTTGTAAACAGTCCATTTCACTTTTTGTCTTTCCTGGTGAGTCGTGGACTCTAAAGCTGACATACCTGAAGCAGACAGAGGCTGAAGACAAGAATGAGATTATCAAAAAACTGGGTGTAAATAATTATATTCTACAGTTACAGGAGCATAAATCTTTCCGAATAAACCCTTTTCTTATTTATTATTATGTTTTTATTGGGGCTGCTCAGCAGCGCAGTGGGTAGCAATGCTGCCTTGCAGCAAGAAGGTTCTGGGTTTGATTCCCGGCCCGGGGTCTATTTGCATGTTCACCCTGAGCATGAGTGGATTCTCTCCGGGTACTCCGGCTTCTTCCCACAGTCCAAAAACATGATTGTTAGGTTCATTGGCTTCTCTAAATTCTCCTTAGGTGTGAGTGTGTGAACGGTTGTTTGTCTCTGTGTTTCCCTGAGTGGACCTGTCCAGGGTGGACCTCGCCTTTCGCCCCTAGACAGCTGGAGATAAGCACCAGTACTCCTCACCACCCCGCTTAGGATGCACTTTTAAAAAAAAATTTTTTTTTTAAATATCTTTCATTTGGTTCTAGCTACCAATGTCCCTGAATACATGTCTGCCGTCAAACACAGGTATCCTGAATATCATGAATAATGTTCAGCCATTCTGGTGGTATGTTTTGCACAATGGCTGATGTGCATGATCAGCTAAAGCCGAAGTTTATTTGAGAGGTTAGGTAACAGATCCGAATGGTATCGTTAAAAGGCATCAACCAGAAAAAGGGTATAAAAATACTTACAGTATTTACAGACAGACTGAGATAGGCTGACAGAGACCCGGAAAGGTTGAATGAAACTAGGCCAAAAGTAGAGATGTCCCGATCCAGGTTTTTGCACTTCCGATCCGATACCGATATTGTTTTTAGACTTCCGAT